TGCAGCTCCTCTAAGGGACCAGGACTATTGGATGTTTCTTTGCCCCTGCTTCTTTTGCTTAGAACATCTGCCCATCCTTGCCATTTGTTCACCAGATAATACCAAATTGCTCTTCCCTATCTCCTATCAGTCAACACTTTTAGGATGGCTCCAACATTACTAGCATCACCTTCTACATGAAGCCTTTTCAGATGCCTGCTTCTCATCCCTCTACTAGATGCAACTGATTAGCTTCTCTTTGTGCTCTCACAGTGGCAGTAACAGTAGTGAGAGTGATAGCTGATCTTTATGAGCATGTACTTAGTTATAGGCAATCATTGTGCAAAGTGCCATCTTAAACCTCACGAGTTTATGCGGTATGAGGTATAATTATTATCCTCATTTTATTTTATTTTATTTTAAGTATAATTAGCATACAGTGGTATATTAGTTTCAGATGTACAATATAATGATACAACAATTCAATACATGACTCAACGCTCATCATGATAAGTGTTATAATTCCCATTTTAAAGATGAGGAGACTAGGCTTTAGAAAGATTATATTTAATGTACTTGCCCAAGTTGTACAGCAAATATGTGGCAGAACTGGATCACCTTATCTACTTAAACCCCAAAGCATATGTACTTAACCTCTACAGCATAGGGCCCAGGCTCATAGCACGTGAGTTAGGTAAGCAAGAAATAAGACAAAAGGAGGTGGCAGACATTATGGAACAGAACAGGGTACACTCAAGCTATAAACATTAAAAAAAAGGAAGGGGGGAGGAGAGAGAGGAAAAGAAGAGTTCTGGGTTGCAAACAAAACATATCTGAAGACTGATCCTGAGTAGTAGGCCACTAGCTTGAGACTCCTGTTTCATACTATATTCAATTCCCAACTTTATACTTGTCACAAAACCCATGTCGGGATAATTTATTAGGATAGTAGTGCCTATATCTTTCTTGCTGCTGTAGGTGTTCCATGAAAGAAAGGTAATTTTCTACTTGTCACCTATCCACCAACCTTGCATCCTAGACATCAAGGCAGAGGGATGAGGGACAAGGGGATGAAAAAAAGGGACTTAAGTGGTCCACAGAAGGAGAGAGAAGGAAGGCTATATTCTCCTTGAGACAGTCAGTGGGATTTTAGGGATCTCATAAATAGTTGTACTTCTAAAGGTGGGTCCTGATAATGTGTATCCAGGAAAAAAAATGGTCACTAGACAAATATCCCTGTGCACCAAGATCAGAATCAACTATGCCTTTTAGCAATCATGACTGCTAACTAGAGACTCTGCTGCAGATTTTCTATATTGGGTAAACTTCAGTGTACTAGTTCTCTACTGCCACTATAATAAACTACCACAGACTTGGTGGCATAAAACAATCCAGATTTATCTTACAGTTCTGGAAGTCAGAAGTCTGAAATGGGTCTTGATGGACTACAGTGAAAGTGCTTGCAGGGTTACATTCCCTTCTAGAGGCTGTGGGGGATAATCCTTTTCCTTACCCTTTCCAGCTTCGAGAGGTCACCCCCATTCCTTGGCTTGTGGCCACTGTCTTCAAAGCCAGCAATGTCGGCCGAGGTCTTCTCAAGCTGCCCTCTCTCTGGTTCTCACTTCTGCCTCCCTCTTACACTTTTAAGGCCCCTTGTGATTACAGTGAGTTCACCCAGTTAACCAGGATAATCTTCCTATTTTGAGGTCAGCTGAATAGCAACCTTAATTCTATCTGCAGTCTTCATTCCCCTTTGTCATGTGATGCAACAGATTCACAGGTTCCAGGGATTAGGACATGGACATCTTTGGGGGGCCATTCTGCCTACCATGACCAGTGATTCCTAAAGACTTTTTGAGTCGGGAGCTATTTGAGATTATATATCTCACTGCCCTATTGAGTAGGTTCTGATATGTGAATATTTTTAATTAAAATATATAATATGAATGCCATGAGCAAATAAATTCATATGCATTCCATACCTACAACAATTATTTTATTTCTCTGTGTATAGGTCAGGCCTCACCTCTCTACCATGAGCTTGCGGTTGGGGACTATGACCCTTATCGGTTTTTGTTGCCCCAGCACCTAGTACCATGCTTGGCACACTGTAGAAATTTTTGTTTGTCACAGTAATAAATAAGTGAAAAATGCTTCTTCTGGGGGGAAAAAAAAAACATTTGTAGAATTGTATTTGTTACTTAGTTCAAAGCTATACATATCTCGAAAGCTGAATCTAGTGCCAAAAAGGGAAGGGGAAGCTGAACATACACTATTTTAAAAATCCATTTAAAATAGATGTCAGAGGTGTTTTTTTATTATTTCGAATATGGATCATTCATCAGTGGAATAAGGAGCAAAAAAGAAAAGGGAACTGCTCCCCTAAACCATATGAATTCTTATATTTCATTTCAAATCAATAAAGGGAAAGTCACTTCTAAAATATTATGATTCATGAACTTTATTTACCACTCTTTCTTTTGGTTTGATCAGAATAGCCATCTCTGTATGGTACTAGAATTGTTGATATTTTATTGCATGACCACATCTCATTATTATGTAATAAACGCTATTATTTATGGCCACTACTCCATCTGATGTGAGACAGAAAAATTATTGAAGGCTTGCCATCTCAGGAATAGGCATTTTATAGGGATGAAGGGCTGACTAGGAAGAGTCAATGGTCCTTCAGCTGCCCCTCAGATCATTAACTCCAAGTGGTTATTTGCTCCCAGGCACTGTCCTATGCCTAGGTTGTTATTGCTGTGATATGCAGATGAAGAAGAATATCTTTTAAAGGCTTTAATATGAACTCAATGCTCATGAAGGGTGCCAGATTGAAAGCACTGGAGTCTGAACTCATCGGGTTATGCACTTGGCTGGTTCCAAGTTACAGAGAAATGCTTGACCTTGAATGACCACCTTGCAAGAGGGAGAAAACATATAGTTTTGCTGAATTTCAAGAGACTTAGGAGCAGCACATCAGTATCGCAAAGTTAAGCATGTTTATCAAGGAGGAAAAAAGGACTACTAACTAAACTTCTACTTGACTCTATTTATTATAATGCCAATACTGGTGTGTATGTGATGGTGGGGGGGCAGTGGTGTTGGGAGCCACAATTACTTTAACATAAAACATAAATAAATGCCCTATTATGGATGCACTAAAACACTTAAACAGCAGCCATCTTTTTAAGAGCTGGTATGTGTTTTTGCACACTTGAGAAGGGTCCTTAACTTTCCCCAAATCATAGACTGAGAAGGAAGAAACTTAGAGCTTTCCAAAGTTTTTATTACAGATATGAGAAAACCAAGGCTCAGAGTGGAAAAGTGACCCAAGGAGGACCATATCAGCAGTATAAGACCGGGAGCAGAGCCCAGATTTCCTGATTAATGGGCAAAGGCTTTTCTAGTATACCGTGTTGTCTCTCTAAGGGAGGAAAACTAGCCGCTCTCTGAACCTTTTAAATATTTAGTGCCAATTATTTTTGTAAGTGTGCATTCTTTTGGCCTTTTAGGCATTTTTCCTCCATTCTGATCTATTCATTCACCTAAGGTTAGGAAGACTATCATTTTTCACACACTTAAGCCTTTATAAGTATGAAAAAATACCTTTCAGTTAATATTACACAACTGGCGGACTCACAATTCCCAAATTAAGAGCGTTATTTTCGCAAATGATGTAAAATGCAAAAATCTCGACTTCCTTCCTCAGTGAGTTTCTTTTTTAATTCTGTCATTTTATTTTCTGATACGTTTTTTTCCTATAGTGATCGAAATTTTTGGCAGTAGTATTCCCTAAAGGCAGTACCTCAAGAAGAATGGCAAATGGAACTACATGCATCATAAAAACGGACAAATCCATCTAAAATTCCCATTACAGACTAATCTCAATGAACTGGAACCCAATTAAAAAAAAAAAAACCTTAACGTATTTGTACTGTATTTTTCAATTGACAATGCAAATTCCAAGACTTTAAGGATTTGGTTTTTTATGTAATCTCATTGTTTTACATACTTTAGAGAAAATATCAAGTGATTCCAAAGACTTATCACAAATTCAGATCATCCTTTTGACTTTTTTACAAATTGGGATGAGAATTCATATTTGAATAATAATGTGTAGCACTACCAAATATAGGTACCAAAGGAAAAAAAATTAATATTCTCTATTTCTTACTAAGTACTGAATATTGACCAATATTTTTAATAAGAATGAAAGCCAATGAGGGAACTCTTTCAGGTAACTGTAGATTTTGATTAATCTAAAAGTCTCCCCACCTTGCCACATTTTCTCGCATATTCCATCTACCAGTGGACTGAATAGAGAAGCAACTGCTTTCTCAGTATTCCAGGCAAATTCTATCTACTTTGGCACATTTACCAAAAGAAAAGGCACAATAACTTTTGCCCAGTAGTTGCACAATATTTACTGAGTGTATAGACAGGCAGAGGGATGGATGAAAGGAAGGATGGAAGGGTAAATAAATGAATGCAATACCATGTCAATACAGATATTTTACTTGAGACTTTCCTAAAAAATTAAAATATTCATTTTAGGAGGCAAATATTTATTTTGTCAGTAAAATTCTCTGAATGAAATTTTTTTCAATTGATATGAAGAAATGCCATGCTTATTTCCAATCAGTAAGAACTACTAAATGGTTCTACAAACATCCTCATTGGCCGCTGCTGTTCCCTTGTACTTTGCAGATACTCCCATTAGTCAAGGAGTCTCTTGGTTTTAGCAGCTGTATATAGAAAAAGTCACAGGATCATTCAAATATGTAGGACAGCTTGCATATTTGATTTTGCAAAGACTCTCTAACAATTATGGCGTACAGACACAAACTTATCTATACCATGGCCAAATAGGTTTTTAAAGGTTTAAAATAATGCATTTCATTTACATGATACTCAATGAATATAACTGATTATAGCAGTGAAACATTCCGTTCCTTTCACATTATACAACAAAGTGTTCAGTTCCCCAAGTAAATTTCAGTGTAGAATGCACATACCTTGATAGATCCAGAAGTTATGAGAATCAAAAAGGAGACAGCTGAATAAAGGTCACCCTTGTAATTCCTGTAAACAAATTAGGCCAAATTATCCTTCAAACATATGTACAAGCAGGTCCAAAGCAGTCCTTCTATGAGGGAAAGGAAGAGACACATGAGGGATTGGGGTGGGGGGAAGCATGGGTGTTGTGAACCTAAGACTTCATTTTGCAATTCACAAGGAATAATGGGGTCAGTCTCTTAAAAGGTCTGCTTGAAACTTCAAACAATCATATTAACTATGTTGCTAATAAAGAATTTAATTAATGATGAGTATACCTAGAGGGCTATGGAATTCTCACCCACAAAGATGGTCCCAACTTAACAATACTCAATTATTGCTCAATATACCACTCATTTTGAGACGAAATGCCCACAATTTCAAGTTTTCACCAATGTAAATAATTTATGGTAATTTAAATTTCTTATACTAAAATAGTCCTTTATAGTTTACCAGAAACGTTCATATACACATTTCATTTAATCCTCAAAACAATCCTGAGGAAACAGGCTGAGAGGTTAAATGGCTTGCACGGAGTCACATGTGTGGTTAGTGGCAGAGCCAGGACTAGAATCCAGGTTCCCTCACTTTCAGCTCAGTCATTTTTCCAATGTCCCACATGACTTCCTTCATGACAGCTATAAAATTAACTATATGTCTCCATGGGCCACACTTCGTACTGGGCAGTAGGACAGGAAATATGTCCTATAATAATCCCTACTATTTCACCCAACTTGAGAGATACATGTCTCTCTCTCTACATATACACACATGTGTGTATGTGTGTATACATATTTTATTGGCACAGAAATGTTAACAATATATTGATAAATGAAAAAAAGTACATTATAAAGTAATTACATGAGTCCGGCTTTTAAAAAGACATATATGTATGTAAAATATATATGATTTTCATCTTTCTGTGTGTCTATATTTTCTAATTTTTCTATAATGAACATATATTACTCATATATAAAATAGCTATGTTTTAAATTCTTCAAAAATCCATTTTAGGTGGGTGGGGGATGGAGGAAATATGGGGTGGGAGTGAAGGAGGGCACTTGTGATGAGCACTGGGTGTTGTATGGAAGTGTTGAATCACTATACTGTATACCTGAAACTAATATTACATTGCATGTTAACTAACTGGACTTTAAATTAAAAAAAAATAAAACAAAAAAAGCTTCAAAAATCCATTTTAGAAAAGGCAGTGTGGTGAATTAAAACAAAAGAAAAAAGAAAACAAAAACTTTAAACTTTAGTATTCCAATATTTTATGATTGGCACTCAATTAACCTTATGGCCCTAATTTATAAATCAAGTAATCCCAAAACTTATTCTTTTTATATTGAGGCAAAATCTCAGTAATAAGGGCAAACAATTTAAAAAATTTTTTAAATGTAGGTCAATAACATTATTGTCACCTTTGACAAAGATCATCAATGTGACCTTGTAATGATAATAATAGAGTATTATATTATTACTAATGATCTCCAGATCCAATATGCTATATATAAATCATTCATAATAGACTGAAGTAGTGCTCTTTATTAGTTGCAATCTAACTGCCCGATGTGCATTTTTTATCACTGTTAATGTTGCTCAAGAAAGGCATAGTTCTGCTCAAGCATTCATGTGGTTCCATAATAGTGCTAAGTTAGAATCTTTCAAGGGAAGACATTTCAGAAAGTACTTAGATCTAGACTACAAAAAAGTATTTCTGGCTCTTCTGCCACATATACCAGAGCAAGTCTGTAGAAATTGGCTTCATACCCATCAGGCTGATTCTGCAAGGAGGTTAGCAAAAAATGCTTTAAAAAATAAACTGCCCTATATGCAGCATTTTGCCTTGGTGAGATACACAGAGAACTGGGAAACAAGAGGGCTTTTAAATGATTTAGTTCTTCTCTGCTCACTTCTCAACTGCCTTCAAACCAGAGTCTTTAGGAAGATATCCTTCCCATTTATGACTAGAGAAGGCCGGTTCATACATGGATCTATATGAGATACCCCAGGTTATTTGCCATCACTTACCAGTTCAAACATGTACCATTCCCTCAACTTTCACCTCTTTATTTCACTCAAGAATTCATTTCCAAAAAAGAAATTGCTGACTGTCTTAATACTGCGTGTGGGCTAGGTACCCTTTACGAAAAAAAAAAAAAGTTAGAATGTTTGACAGGACCATCACTGAATGCAACCAAATAATGCACACCAGAGGCAAAAACAGCAGAAGCCACAAATGTTAGAAATGCATGTCACACTACTGACTATTGGTTTTGGAGATAGGCTAGAGCCTGCAAGCAGAGTCCTAAAGCCAAATCTGAACGTCTCATTAAGAGTTCATCTAACCCACACTTCAATTAGTGCCACTGCCTCTTGTTTGGTCCTACATAGAGAATAATATTCTACATCCTTCAGTTCTCAGCCTCTTAAAATGAAACCATCATCTGAGATTGGCTGTGGAGATGAAATGCATAAATTGAAGGTGAACGAACAGAAGAATGGTCTAAGAGTCTGGTCCAAAAAATACATATATATATATATATATATACACACACACGGATATGCATAATCAAAATATGCATATATGTGTGTATGGATAGATGTCTTTCTCAGATGCATTTAAAAAGTGTAATTCCTATTTGTTTAGGAAATGGGCCATTTTCTACTTGTTTTCAATAATTACTCAATTATATACTAATTATAACAGCTTATTAACACTTTCTATTTTCAAGGGACTTTGGGCTGCATATAGGTCACACTTTATTTTACTAATGAGTATATCTTTAAATATTGCTACACATACTCTGAAAGCCCTAATGCTATTTTTCTAATGGGACGTTGACTCAAAGACCTTGTAGAAAATAATTGTGTTAATAACAGAGATGGTTTCCCCATTACAATGATCAGTGCTCTCAGACAATTAATGCTGCAACACTGTATTGTCACTTTCTTCCTCAGGCCCTAGAGAACTTCTAGGTTTACATTATTGGCTGCAGCTTCTTTTTTTTCTGGCAATATGGGCATTTCTAATGATGAGACCTGCCAAAACTTGTCAATGCTATTTTTCTTCTTTTCCATTAGAGGTGACTGTGGCTGAATAGCCAAGCAATCTATAGTCTAACTTCACTTAATTGTTTTTACAACATGACATGAAGAAATATAGTGAGTAATCACTCCTGTTTTACATGAAGCAAATTGCTAGTGCTCTCCACAGCAATATGAAGAAGTCTTAACTTGCCTAATCTCCCTTGAACATCCTGTTCAAATCCTGACAGGGTAAACTCAGCCCTCCTTGGTTCTTCAATGACTAAAGACTAGATTGGATCAGTGGATCTCAATTATTTTCCCTGTCTGTATATCTCTTCAAAATAAAGCAGCCAGAGAACAGTTGGCCCCAATTACAACTGGTATATTTCTCTCCCTCTAACACCGTCTCTCAAGGAGGACAGGTTTACCCTCTTTGTTATTTATTACCTAAACCTCACTTCTAAGGTGCAATATTTATTTTTGTGTTTTTTGTTTCCTCTTTGTTTTGTAAATGTACTTTTCTTTTTTAAAAGGTTTTATTTATTTGTCAGAGAGATAGAGCACAAGCAGGGGGAGCGGCAGGCAGAGGGGGAAGCAGGCTCCCTTCTGAGCAGGGAGCCCGATGTGGACTCCATCCCAGGACCCTGGGCTCATGGAGGACCCTGGGATCATGACCTGAGCTGAAGGCAGACACTTAACTGACTGAGCCACCCAGGCATCCCGTAAATGTATTTTTCTGCAATGAAAGTTATACAGATTTACTGTAGAAAATCTGGGAAATACTGAAGGTATAAAGGAAAAAAAATCACCTAATACCCACCTCCCCCAAACAGACATAACCAATTTTAGCACTTTGTGCATGGTTTTCCAGTCTTTTTTTTTCTTTCTTACATAGTGGGTAAATATAATTTTGTATCCTGCTTTATCACTTGATAGCATAACATAAACATTTTCCTTTTATCATAAAATATTTGTAAACATCATCTTTAATGGCCATAAAGTATTACATTGTCTAGATGTACCATAAATCACTTAGCAAGTCCCTTGTTGAACACTTAGTTTCCTTCATTTTTTTCCACTATTACAAATAATTTCTGGTAAAAATCTTTGCAAATAAAGCTTTTTCTGCACTTTGCATTATTTCTTTAGGAAAAATTCCCAGAAGTAGAATTATTGGGTCAAATGGCTATGAGCATTTTTAAGGCTTTTGCTTCAAATTGCCAAATCTAGACCAACAAATATTTCATCATGTCCTTATATTCATGCATTTATTCAACCAGTACTTATTAAATACCTACTATGTACCAGGCACTGTGCCAGGTGATATGGATGCAGTAGTGAAGAAAACAGACACAAAGTCCATGCCCTCATAGAGCTAATATGCTAACAGATTTGACAAGTTATAAATAAACAAAAGTACAGTGTGATACCAGGTAGTGATGAGAAATATCAGGAAAAACAGAATAAAGGCATAGAAAATGAAGAATCATGACAGGACTCATTACATAGGATGGCCAAGGAAGGCCTCTATGATTAAAGAATGTTTCATCAAAGATCTCAATGAAGCAGGAAAGTAAGCTTATAGAAATCTTGGAGAAAATTCATTTCAGGCAGTGGAAATGGCAAGTGCAAAGGCCCTGAGAAACAAAAATGCATGGCATGTTTAAGGAACAAAATGGAGGACAGTGTAGCTAGAATGTTATGACAAGGTTTGGTAGGGAAAATAGTAAGATGCGAGGCCCAATAGAGACCAAATCATGTAGGGCCTTGTAGGCCATGGTAAAGACTTTTAAATTATTTTTTAAATTTTATTTTAAGGGTGAGAAGAAGGCAGCCATTGGAGGGCAAAGAGCAGGAAAATCACAAGATCCTATTTCTGTTTTAAAAGGATCACCCTGGGGGCACCTGGGTGGCTCAGTCGGTGAAGCATCTGCCTTCAGCTCAGGTCATGATCCCAGGACCCTGGGATCAAGCCCTGCATCGGGGGC